GCTCCGATTTATTTCAAAAATGTCTACCAAATCTTATCTCTTTATCTTGTATAGTTTTCAAATTCATTTGGAACTAAAACTAAATGCAATTAAACCCTCGCCTTAATGTGAGCACAAGATATGGTGTTATACAGAACGCAGGTGTAATTGCTGTGTCATAAAATCATAGTGTCATCAGCAAATAGAGTGAAAGTACTTGCAATGTTAAGTTAAGCTACGTCATTTTTATAAAAACGAATAAAATGGGACCAAACACAAAAACCTGAGGAACTCCACTAATTATACTTAAAACTTGCGAGCCTCTAGTAGCTCTCACCATTTGCTTATGTTCTGAAAGATATTATTTTATGCAACTCGGCGCTGCGTCTTCGATTCCGTAAACTAGAAGGTATTAAACAATGCTCAGTGATTTACACAATCAAATGCTTTAATCAAGTCAGAATATCTCCGCTACAGCTTTGTTAAAATTAATTTTAGAAAAAGCGAGTTCAAGGTAAGAAAATATGGTAACAAGCGACCGGGCGAGGCGATCCAGTCCTGATAATTGATATAGGCAACCAATAAGGCATATGTGTAATTTTCGATGGATTTGCCCAAAATACTTCGTAATGCGTGTGTATTTGTAATTCCTGTAAAGCCCTTTTTGATTAGATCGACAGGAGTTTGTAGCGTCCCACTGGTTGGGAGTTTAGTGATTTTATGACGTAAAAATTCTACCACCCCTTTAATCCCGTCCACATAATGTCAGTCACCCCCTCAATTTGTTAAACATCAATAGGGGTCGAATATAACTTTATTAATAATGGCTTGAAAAGACGAATTCAAAAATGTATCACCTATCTTAACAAAAAAAATAGACCATATTATTTTTGCCAAAAGTAAATGAAGAACAGTTTAAGCACATTCTCCATTGAAAGTTTACTTCATTAGGGATACTTTATTAATTTTAAAAACTTAATAAAATACTTATCTATATTTACATTTTAATTTATTTAAAATGATCCTAAAGTTTATAAGTGTGATACATTTTTGAATTGAGCTTTCCAAGCCCTTTCAAATTTAGATAACTACGACACCTCTTGCTATTTTAAAAAAAAAAATGTGAGTGGTTGTCACGTTAAATGGACTAAAGGACAAGCATACTTTTTATGTAATAAAAAGCCTTGCTTGAAATAAAAATCTGATATATCCAACACGTGACTTTCCTAGCTGGTCATTACAGGCTTTTGCCGGTTTTATACAACCTATTATATCACCCCTGTAAATATTCATTGCCAACGAAAATACTGAAAAATAAAAATTTTATGCTTTTCCTTAAATTTTTTCATTACGGTCCATTTTAGAGAAATCATATAAAAAATAAAAATTATAGAGAATGATATTGCAAACAACTTTTATTTAAACATTTTTTTTTTAAATTAGATTTTTGCGACTTTTGTCAAATTTATGGAATACGGACCATTTTAGGAAAATTATATAAAATATAAAAATTATAGAGAATAACATTACAAGCAACTTTTATTTAAAGTTTAAATAACAGATATATTCCATAAAGTATAAAAACGACCTTCTATGAAGTTCCAACTATGCTCAAAATTTATTCAGTTCATAGAACGATGGATTAAAGCTAAATATAAAAATTTTGTGTTTTTCTCTTATTCCATTTTTGAGTTCAGTCAGTGGGCTCTCGGAAAAACGTCACTGAGCAAAGACCTTTAAAATTCAAAATTTGTACTTTTTCTCAATTATCTCGAATACGGTCCATTTTAAAGAAATTATGTATAGGACAAGAATTGTAAAATATGACATCACAAACAACTTTTTTTTTAAACCATTTGATTTTTTTACTTACAAATTTTGTATAGCACAAAAATTATAAAGAATTATATTTAAAGCAACTTTTATTTAAATAGAAAAGCGACCCCCATAAAGTATCCCCCAAATGTTCCGACTGTCCAAAATCTAATCAGTTCACCGCAGACCGGAATAAAGCTTAAGGTTAAAATTTGGTGTTTTTCTCTATATCCGTTTATAAATTATCGAGTATACACACACACACACACACACACACACACACACACACACACACACACACACACACACACACACACGCACGCACGCACGCACGCACGCACGCACGTACGCACGCACGCACGCACGCACGCACGCACGCACGCACGCACGCACGCACGCACGCACGCACGCACGCACGCACGCACGCACGCACGCACGCACGCACGCACCCACACACACACACACACACGCACCCACACACACACACACACACACACACACACACACACACACACACACACACACACACGCACGCACGCACGCACGCACACACACACACACACACACACACACACACGCACGCACGCACGCACCCACACACACACACACACACACACACACACAATTTTGCTGGGGATTAAACCCTTTTCAGAATCAGAAAATACAATCAAAGTTTCGATACACTCGCATCTTCATATATTTATAAAGGATTGAAAATTATGCGGACAGTCCATACAATGGGGTGTATCGCTATTTTTTTCTGTAACCATCTTCACGGGGACATACACTTATTCTATTAGTCCAGGCAATGCGGTGTATCGCTATTTTTTACTGTAACAATCCTTACGGGGACATACACTTATTCTATTTTTAGACTTTTATACACCTCATTACTAGTCTCCTTAGGCGGTCTCTGTCTGCACAAAGCATTGTAATGAAATATTTTTCATAAACTATCATTTTGTAGACATATACCTTTTCTATTCTTACATGTATACACAGTTTTAATAATAAAATAAAATTCTAAAGTAAAATCTAAAAATTTCACTGTATTTATATATTTATATATATGTATTTATATTTATATTTATTTCATCGATAGTTCCATTCTCTTTTGAACTTGGCTACACCGTACTGATGAAGACCAATAGTCAGAAACACGTGTCTACGGTTATCTTTTATATTTATATTTATATACTTATCTATAAAACACACAAAAACTCAAAACTCGATAATTGTTTTGCAAATTAAGGTTTGTATCTTCAGGAGTGACATTATAAATAACTTGATGTAAAGTTAATAAAGGCCCTTTCTTTTTGAAATGTTGGTAGTGTTAGTATTGATTACTATAAGTTAGACTATTTTAAATATAGCTACTAGATATTTCATAAAAGAAAGTTCACAATTTTTTTTTAATTTAGAAGACAGTTCAGAAGTGGGAACTTCTAAGATTTATTTGTTCATTTAATAGCTTATACTGAGGATTAATAGACACAATCATTGTTTAAAATCGAAAATCAGTAACGTCTTTTCTTTTACTCTCTTTTGCTTATCTACTTATTCTTTCTATTAGATGTGCGCTTTTTGTCCTAGGTAGGTCGCATTTTGTTTCAGAACACACGGATTCCTATTTTATGTCCACATTAGGTATGTAATAGTTAAATTAGGTGTGTAATAGTTATTTATGCATCAAGGGAATTATAAGTGTCAAAGGGCAAAGTTTATTTGAAATTGTTCGAGATTTTTGAGACTCAATAATTCCCGTGGTCCATGAATAATTTTATTTCTGACTGAATTTAGTAACAATTTGTTAAAGAGGCTGTGAGAGGGAAACATTTTGACAGAAGATGCCAATGAAATTGTATTTAAAACTAGAGGGAATTAAGGGAATCCCTAATCTCCAAAAGTAGTTATAATTATTTTCATTGTTAGCATATTCAAGACAATATAAGATAATAATAGGCCTGTCAGAAATAAAATTAGGAAGCATATAGGTATATCGAGGAGTAAGAGTAAAAGCCCGAAAGTCGGTCAAAATTTAAATAGTATATTTCATTTAGTAGCGTAATTACGATGTGGCAAGGGGTGGCAGTTGCCACCCCAGAATTCCCAAACCCCACCCAAAAAATCGGCAGTAAACATATCAGTTATTTGCGAACAAGTGAAAAATTAGAGTTTATAAACATGTCACAATCTTGGTTCTTTATTAAACTTGTCTCAGAAGCCCTTTAATATGTAATGCAATGTGACTAAAAATAAAACATTGTAATATAACAAGGCACATCAATAATAAACAGAACAATGAGTATACATTATTTAACATTAATGTGCTGGTATAGTTTGTAAAAAAGTGTTAAAAATGCATCAATAATAAACAGAACAATGAGTATACATTATTTAACATTTATGTGCTGGTATAGTTTGTAAAAAAGTTTTAAAAATGCATCATTTTAACGCCAAAATTTAAAGAAATTACGGGAGTGGACCGGGGTGGACCCCCGGACCCACCTTTTACCTGAAGCTATTCCGGAGCCCCCGGCAGACCTTGCCACCCCAGTTAAAAAGCTCTTGATTTCATTAAGACTGCGACTCCAGAAAATAAGCGTTTCTCGTCCGCGCATGAAACATCATCGCGAAAATAGTCAAAACGGATACAGGGGACCCAAAAACATAAAAATCCATCAAAAACAGGATGTCGAAAAATCATGATTCCTATTCTTTCCTTATCTGTATACAGAAAGGAAAGTAAAAATAGAATTGCCTAGCGTTTTTCAACTTTCGTTCATATGAAGCAATTAATAAAATATGAAATCCAGTGTAAATAAAGAATTTGTCACTAAGAACTAAGAACAAAACTGGGCCACATACTATGCCTTGAGGTACTCCAGTTATAATTCACCTCGCTATCAATTTTCATAAATTGAACACTCTTCAAGTAGTGTTTAAGCAGTTCTAGAGCTGGAATAAACATCTAGTAATCGCAAATATTTATAAACAAAGTAGGCTTTTTGTATAAAATATTGTACATATTCAAAATATCTTTGACATGTCAAAATATTAATTGTTAAAATTGATATTATTTCAAAAGTGATAAAATTAAATAATAAAAAGTTGAGGTTGTTCTTTTAGGGGTAAGTAGTTTGACATAATTTAATTTTGAAAATACAACCTAAAAGATATCTGGAACTGGGTTCATGTCTTGTATACAATTTTTGTATTAGCATAATAATAAAGATATTTACTGAAAGGACACCCGGTATATTATTTTTTTTATTGCTAAATATTTTATAGTGGCACGCACCATAAAATCATTATTTCTTAATAAAAACCAACCTGTACGGATTTATTGTGGTTTTGAACGTATTGTGTACTCTAGAAAGGAAACTCTCCAGATACTGAGCGGTTTTTAGACTGCATTATCAACAGATAAAGTAATATTGTTACGAAGGCCAAAAATAAAAGTGATTCTGCCCACTTTACAGCTTAGTATGACGCACGTAAAACTCCAACTTGTTGATTCGGCCATAAATACAATATTGATTTTCCGGAAAAGTGAAAATGCGCATTGATGAAACCTACTAATCCGGCAGTCTGCAATATGGTATGACATACACGGACAATTTTTCTCCGTAAAAATGGAAGATTTACTGTTAAATATTGTTAAAGAAGCCGGTAGCTCCAAATTAACTAATCTGAAACAACGAGCACAAGAAGCACACGGTAAGTTTTTCTAAAATAAGAAAATTTTAAGAATCACTTCCTATTTGCGCAATAAGTTTTTGCTTTACTACGGAGATGAATTACTCATATTTTAACATTTTATCCAAGTTCACGGTTAATATTATTAGCCTATTTTGAAAATTGCAAAATGAAACTCAAACTGAACAGTTATAGAGTAATTTTAAAACCAATCAATATCCATATTCCATTTACTATTTGTTTTAGATAAGTTATCTGGTATGAGTAGTGAATATAGGCCACCCTCATGTATTCCATAATATCTATATGCTTTCGGCAAACCGAAAAATAAAGCATTATCCTACAAATATAAAAATTGTTTTTAACAAAGTAAACATGAACAAGTATAAAAAATATTCTAAATAATTAAAATGTATACGACATAATATACGAGGTATGTTGTAATTATAATGTGAAGTATGGTATACCAGACCGCAAAAAGTTTAAACAAGTTTATCTAAACTATTATTTAAATTATTAACATTAAAATCTTTATCAGGTAGATACCAAGTGTTGTAGCGAAGTTAATGCAAGTATATTCCAGTTAGGAAAATTAGGTACCTATACGATTCTTCGTATGAAAGTTTATCTGGAAATATTTTTAAAAAGATTAAAAAAATACGACTTTATGTATGGTGTGGTACAAACTATTAAGTAAAGTCAATGTGTGTCAACGACATTCTTGTAGTTTTCAAACAATTAGCATCTTCCTTGCCAAATTCAAGTCAACAAACTTTAAAGCCTTGGTTTCTTTGAACACTTCGTCGCGGTGAGCGGACAGTCCGTCAACCGTCGCGTTTTGACAATTTTATCCAACCAGAGTATTTAAATGGGAATGGTTTTCTTGAATCCGCTTAGCTGAGCAGGACGGCGTCATGCCGCTGATTTGTCGCGAAGAGTCGGTTGATATCTGTTGAGTTTGATATCAGCGGAATCGTCGGCGTGTGCGGAGACTATATTGTTATTAATTTTAAAACAATAAGTGACAAATTCACACATACAGATGACATCATGACTTTATTTTTAGGTTTCTTGGAAATTATGTCCTTTATAAAACTCAACACGAATTCAAAAAGACCTGTAGAAAGTCTAAAATACTCCCTAAATTTGGTTTTATTTCCAAAAAGCCTCCGCTGCACAGTGATATTAAAGGCACCTTCTGTATCGCGACACAAAAACAACTCATCTACTGGCTTATTGGAAACTTTGACGGTTGCAATTGCCAGTTCCTCTTGTTCTTCCTCTTCCAACAATAATAACAACGCAAACAATTTATTTGCATCCATTTTAGTACCTTTCGTTTACATTCATAATACATAAACAGCACGTACAGACATAGAGAAAGTATCATTTTCTATATTTTTTAACAAACCACCTCAGGCGAAAATTGCTGTCCTCAGCGGTCGACGGACTGTCCGCTCACCGCGACGGAGTGTTCAAAGAAACCAAGGCTTTAGGGGGCGTAAAATGAAAAACCAATAGAAAATCAAGAATTAAAATTTTAGTTCAATTGTTTTTTGGAATCATATCATGGATCTAAGAGCTCTAGCAGTCAATCCGAATAATGTTTCAATTTTCAGCCTTGTATTCACACAAGGCTGTAGATACATTTGTAGATTTATTATTTAATACCTCTTGAATAAGAAAATAATGACCTTACAGGGATACCGTGTGGTTGAGATATCTACCTTTACATTTTTAAAAATGTAAAAAAAAAAAATAAAATTATCCTGATTCTACATATGCTACGTTTGAAATGTAGCTCGTCGATCAGAGCGAGTAGATTGTTTAGTCACGTGACATCGAGCAAACCATATCAATGGAGCAAACGGAGGAAAAAGGGCGGTAGCGAGTAAAAAGCAAAACGAGATACATTTCAAACGCAGCAATAGCTGCAATTTTAATATACTTACATATCATTGGCGCACTTAAGGGGGATCTTAGGGATTACTAAGGTAACTGTCCCGGCTAGCAAGTGTCACTTCCTTACCAGCAAGTGTCACTTCCTTACCAGCAAATGTAACTTAATTTATACTTCGTGTTTTCTTATCTCTTCCTGCGTTTTTTCCTTAGGAACTTTTTTCTGCTGCTACTTATAGTTCTGTTGGGGTTCATTGCGGGTTCATTTTAGTTAATTGTCCGGCTTATTTGCAATTATATAAAGTCAATTTTATTATTAAAAATTCCATTCAATATGTAACTGGCAAAATAATAATTAACGAACTGAATAATTTGAAAATTCGGTAAAAAATCTCAAAAATCTGCTTACGAATCATTAAGACAGAAGTTTGATGTACTTGTTCGGGCCAGACGCCGTTCAGGCTCGTTCTCATATCTTTAAATACCCCTTTACAGCATCGGTGTATATGATAAATGCATTTATGCATACTAAGCCTGTGCGAGGCAGTGTGCTTACCCATTGTCAAAAGACTGGTAGGCCCTCGTTCAGGCAGTAGGCCCTCGTACAGGCAGTGGGCTGTCGTTCAGTCAGTGGACCCTCGGAAAAACATCACTGTACAACGACCTATTTATGCTCTTCAAAGCATCGGCTTATAAAAAAAAAATAGGTGGGACCTTCTCCATCCTGACCGGTAGTCCCTGGAGATCGTAATCCGACATTGTGCTTACCCCTTACATTTTCTACACTTTCCTTCGACTGCAATTGACTGTAAATTATTGAGTTACCCTTCTGCTGGTATGAAATAAATGCTGGCAACATTTAATATTGTAGATCAATATTAAAACTTTATTTTTAGCATTCATGTATCATACCCATCCCAAACAAACCCAAAAGCATGCATAATCGTGTCTTTATCGCACGCCGTGCTTATAAAGGTTGCTAGGTAAACGCTTAAATAAATAAGATTAGATTATGTCAAATTTTGTTTTGAATTGTCAAATTAATCAAATTGTTTACAAGTAAAGTAAGTAACATGAACAGAAATAGTATATTATGACAATAATGCATAATCGAGCCTTTAAAGCATGAGCAACGAGTTTAAGGCCACGACGCGCAGCGCGGCCTGCGGTGAACTGATTAGATTTTGGGCAGAGTAGAAACATCTGGGGGGGTACTTTATAGAGAATCATTTTTATATTTTTTGAAATATGTCTCTTATTTACGTTTGGAGAAGAAAATTCTCTAAATAAAAGTTACTTGTAATATCTATAATTTTTGTTCTTTACAAAATTTTCCTAAAATGATCCGTATTCGAGCAATTTGACAAAATGTAAAAAATTCCAATTTTTAAGAAAAATTGTTTAAATAAAAGTTGTTTGTCATATAATTCACTATAATTCTTGTCCCACACATAATTTCTCTAAAATGGACCGTACTCGATATATTTGAGAAAAAGTGTAAATCTCGAATTTTGAAGAAAACGGATGAAGAGAAAAACATTAAATTGTAAACTTAAGCTTTTTTCCGGCCTGAGGTGAACTGATTAGATTTTGGGCAGAGTCAGAACATCTGGGGGGTACTTTATAGGGGGTTGTTTTTATATTTTATGGCATATATCCGTTATTTACGTTTGGAAAAGAAAATTATTCAAATAAAAGTTACTTTTAATATTATTCTCTATAATTTTTGTTAAATACAAAATTTTTCTAAAATGGTCTGTATTCGTGAAATTTGCAAAATGTGCAAAATTCTGATTTTTAAGAAAACTGTTAAACTAAAAAATTGGAGAAAAGTGTAAAATTTTAATTTTTTAGTATTTTTGTTGGCAATGAATATATATAAAAAAAATGTTTCGATTTAGAAGTATGTGGAAAATGTATATATTTAGTTTATCCTCTTAACATTTACAGAGGTGCTACAATAGGTTGTACAAAATAACCGGAAAAAGCCTGTAATAACTAGATAGGAAAGTCATGTGTTGGACACATCAGATTTTTGTTATATCTTCATGATGACTTCTCACTTATACACAGTGTAGTGAAAAGAGTTAATTTTTTTTATATTGAACAACTTGCATGTTGTTAAATAGTACTAAACAGAAAAGTTCGAAAATATAGTATGTCCCCCTAGGTTGGAATCATATGAAAAACTTTTTTATTATTAATTTTAGGAAAAAAAGTTATTCTTCATAAAAAGTTCTGCATTATCTAAAAGCTAGAATACAGTCATCAAATATCAAATTTTTTCAGTGGTATACGAGGTTTGTTAAAAAAAAAAAATATGAATTTTGCTCAAGAGTAAAGTACCTTTATTCTTTATACGACTGATTAAACTTGATATCTGATGGTATATCAGTCGTATAAAGAATAAAGGTACTTTACTCTTGAGTAAAACCCATATTTATTGACAAACCTCGGATACCACTGAAAAAATTTGATATTTGATGACTGTAATCTAGGTTTTAGATAATGCAGAACTTTTTATGAAGAATAACTTTTTTCCTAAAATTAATAATAAAAAAGTTTTCCATATGAATCCAACCTAGGGGGGCATACTGTATATTCTTAGGGTTATCAGATTACTTGTTTCTAACTTATTAGCGACCATTAGTTAAAATCTTCGAAGATTTACAATGAATTGTATTGGACCTAAAAACTTTTAAACAGTATAAAACCCGTTTTTTTTTGAGCACTATTTAAAATTTTTATAAAATACAGGGTGCTACATTTTAAGAATATAACACTGTGTATAAGAAAAAGAAAGAACGGTTTGGTAGGAAATATTTTCACCTATATTTCTCTTTTTCTAACTTATAGTTTCCTATATAAGGGGATAGAACAAAAAACGGCCACCCTACTGGGTGAAAGTAACAAGCTGATACGGATGTATATAGATAAAGAGTAAATATAAATTCATAGCAACGAAACCCATTAATATGCCGTACAAAGCTGCAATTTTAATATTCTATAACTTTTAATTAAAAATTGCGTTAAAAGTTTTTTCTGAAAAACACCAAACACCTTTGTTCTTTCCATGTTTATTGTGTACTATATGTATTATCAAACAATATTTCTGATATTATATTCTTATTTTTTTTTTGTTTTTTTTTTTAGTTCTAATAGTTTAATCCAAACATTCTGCTCTTTGTTTGTTTCAATAATTTAGTACACACTTTTTATTTCGCGTCAATAAATAATTTTAATTTTTGCTTTTATTGGTTAATTTCTCAATTTTAGACTTATTAGCAGCACAAAATAATTTAATGAGAAATTCTTCGCATGAACTACGATCTGTATGTTTTTTACCATTGAAGTTGTCATTGGAAAGCAAGAAAAGCAAACTTGTTGCTTTGGCATTAACCGGATTTAATGTAAGTAGTTAACTCTAAAACCCTTACGGTAACCTTGGTTGATTTTCTCTGATCAGCAATCAAAAATCAATAGTAAAAAAGTAAAAAATAATAAATTATTAAATCTCCACTATCATTAATTATTCATTAAACTTTTGGTCACTTGGCTGCTCTACAAAATAACAGCAGATCCTACAATCATAAAATTTCATATTGTTAATTATAATCTATTGCGATTCTTTGTTTGTATTATTTTTAGAAAATAATTCGAGACGAAAGGTTTCAATGTGGCACAGAACCTGAAGATGATTCTCTATGGCTTCCTGCCCAACTACTTTTAGCCACATCTTCGCTTCTATCTCAATGTGAAGATACACAGGTCCATATTCTCAGAGTTGTTTTAAACCTGGCATGTTCAGCCAGTTGGGCTCTAAATGGAAGACTTGTTATGCTAATTCTAGGCAGATGTGGGGAAGCTTACGAAATTGGCACTCAACCTATTAGAGCATCTGCACAAGCTGCAGCCAGTCAAACATTGACAGCGTTCTGTACATTCCTAGGTGAGAAAAATTCCAGGTTTACGAGTTTTTCTTATAAGAAAAACCTTATTTAACGATGTTTACATTTTTTCAGATGAAGAATGTCAGGAAATTCTTCAACAACAACAAAAACATAAAAATTCTGGAAGCAGTGCCGAAATGGTTTATACCAAAACATCCGCAGTTGCGTGCTTTAATGAAGCTATTCCTGTTATGCAATATATATGTAGTAAACTAGAAGAATCCAAACAGTAAGTATATCAGTTTTATTAAATAAAATCAGTTACCGAAGATATTGTAAATATTATCAATTGAGTAATTACTGTGACTAAATATTAGTTATTATTTTTAGGCAATCCAAAACAAGTGATCTAACAATTTACCTCTTAGAGTGTCTATTGACTTTTGTGAGCACATTGCCTCATACAGTACACTCAAACATTCATTTTACAACATTCCTGTGGCAGCGATTCTGTCCAGCATTAATTGCTTTTCTTGGATTACCCGGAGATCCATCTGGACATTCTTTAACTTCAAGTCAAGCTAAAATAGTTTATAGGTAAGGTATGAACTGTCACCGGTTCTAATAGATAGTGCAAATATTTAATGCCTATTTTTAAACTAATAATGAGTTACAAAGGTTAGAGTTAAAAATTTACTCCCATATTTTTTAATTTCAGCATTGGAATACAAGTGGTGAGACTAGTTGGTAGAGAAAGAGCGCTTAGACCAGTATTGGAAGCGTTATTCCACAGAATGCTTTTATTACCAAGTCCTCCAAAAAGATTGGAACCTCTAAGAGCTGCTAAAGAACTACTTAGATCGCCAGGAAGGCTTGCAGATTTGCTTCTGCTTAGTGGACCAATACACCGGCATGCTGGTGATGATATGGCAATTATAAGACTGTAAGGAATAAGTAAAAAACTACAAATGTTTTATCTATTTACTCTTTGAAACATATTCACCTATAAAGGGTGTAGACAATTTAAATGCACACTATTACGCATTTATAAAACACTGGAGATACAAAATATTTGGTGTGCCTTTAAATTATTCATGCACTGTATTCTGAAAAACAAACTTGAAAACTCTGATGTACTAAAAATTTCAGTACCAAACCAGACAAACCTATAAAAAATAATACTAAAGAAATTAGGCAAATGAGACGTTAGACGTCAGAGCCCTTAGTTATAATCATTTTTTTTTTATAGGATAATGGACTCAATTGAAGAATCTTCTCAGTGCAGTGATACTGGTGTCTTACTAGCAAGTGTAGAATGTGTAGGAGCTCTTTTAGGATCACTAGAAGCCTTATGTAAAGGAGAGGGTTTGAATCAAGAGGCAACTGATATAGCGAATAGTAGATATATAACTTTAGAACAGGCAGACTACTCCGGACCGTTAACTTATGAATCACTGGCGAGACTACCCAAACCGTACAGGTAATAATTTATATTTTTTATAGTCATCATATTAAATATTGCGAAGTATGATGAGAAATTACTGAACTTTCAGAGCTGGGTGTACGGTTTCCATTATGTAAAAAGTGGACTAAACATTTCCTAAAGCGTTTTAGCTAATTGGTAAACAAATTAAATTAGTGCATAAAACCTCAACTGTTATTTAGCATTTCTAAGTATATTAACCCGACAATGACTTTCCAAACTCAGCCAGAGATCGAGTTCTATTATTATATTATTAATTACATGCCGCTACTGTCGAGTCGAGAGTAACCACTACAGCAGTGTTACTCAAAGTGTGCTCCGCGGAGCCCTGGGGGTTCCGCAAAAATAATAGTCATAATAAAAAAATACTAAAGGAGTACTATGAGGAAGTTCGTCACAAAAGTGAGGACTTTTCTTTATTTAGAAATGCCCCGGGGTTGCAAAGTAAAGTAAAACCTCCAAAAAACTTTGAGAAATACTGCACTAGAGGAACATAAAATCAACTAGTCCTAGTAATACAGTCATTTGTTTCTAAAAAAGAGGTTGTCTGGAAAGTTTACCGAGAATTTTGAAAATGGATAATTTTATAGATTTCGATGTGTTCTTTCCGAACTTCAACTTTGCCACCTCGTATCTTTACGTCTCGCGCCGCCTTTGGAAAAATTGTGCCTAAAATCAATTTTTTGACAATATTTCCTTAATGAACTCATTTTACGATAAAAACATTTACATACAAAAAAAAACTAGAAAAAATTTCCTACAATTTAGGTGAGGTGCATCTCACTGAGGATTTATTTTCTTGGAAGAAAAATGTATCTACTCTATTTTAACTTAATTATTGACAAAAAATGTCATTGCTAGGTTGTTTAGATCCTAAACCAGTAGTTTTCCTCTGCACATTTGCTTCATGAATAAGCTGAAGGAATACTATCGCCCATGTTCTGGTTAGTTCTAGTGGACGACCTACACAAAACAATGTCCAAAGAAGGCTACCGATGCTTAAAATATGCAGACGACTTAACAATTATCGTCAGGGGGCTATTTGCAGGCACAGTCTCGAAGCGAACTCAAACAGGTCTAAACATTGTGATCAACTGGTGTAAAAAGGAGCAACTGTCCATTAACGCACAATAAACAACAGTTGTACTATTCACAAATAAACGGGTACTTACAGGACTAAGACTACTAGTACTAAACATGGTTATTCCACTTGTTACAGAAGCCAAATACTTCGGAGTCATATTCGACCAAAGGCTGACATGGAATCAAAAAGTCACATACAAAGCTAAAATAGCTCTCGTAAGCAGCAGAAGAATATGTGGATAAAACTGGGGTCTAAGCCTCAAAATGACCATATGGCTATACACAAGGGTGATAAGACCCATGTTAACCTATGGCGCAGTGGCATGGGTAACCAAAATGGCGCAGGCAAGTGTAATAGTCCAACTCACCGGCATTCAGAGGCTCGCCTGTCTGAGTACCACTGGGGCCATGCGTACTACGCCAACTGCAGCAATTGAGGTACTATTAAACCTCACGCCACTACACATCTTCATACAAGGAGAAACAGGTCCATTATTCACAAGCTAATGCAGGATAAAACCCAATAAGCGAACTACATAGCGCAGACCATACAAGGCTATATCAGCAAGTAAAAGGGATAAGATTCTAGGAATTCTTACTGATATAGCCATGACCACTTACAAATTTAAAAGAAACTTTTAAATTCAAATACCAGCCCGAGAATCCTGGAAACAGGGACCTTCCGTACAAGCTGAACTCGTCTGGTATATAGACTGTTCAAAAACCAAGGAAGAAACCGGTGCTGGAATCTATGGACCCAAGTCGAAAACAACGATTTCGCTGAGTCTAGGAGAATATGCAATAGTGTTTTAGGCTGACTAATAACCATACAATATTGTGCAAGAGAAATTTTAAATCAGCAAGCATCAGGCAAAACTATTGCCATCTACTTTGATAGCCAAGCAGCTCTAAAGGCAATTCTCTCATCATAAATCAAATCACGACTGATGAAAGACTGCCTAGAAAACCTGATAGAGCTAAGTAGTTAAAATAAGGTGACCCTACCTGGGTGCCAGGCCACAAGGAATATCAGTGCAACGAAAAAGCTGAAGAATTAGCCCGACAAGGCGCAGATAAGGCCATGAGAGGCGCCGAACCCTTCTTTGGAGTTGCTAGGGCATCAAAAAATAGTGAATGGTGAAACAACTTCCAAAACTGAGACAGGCCAAACAGTTCATGAAGGAATCATCGGTCAAATTCACGAAACACCTACTGGTTCAAAAACGTCAAATCGTTAGGATAACAGTAGGTTTTCTTACCGGACACTGTAGCCTAAGAAGGCACATGAGTGTCATTAATCCAGCAGAAGAAGCAACTTTGTGCAAGTTTTGTGAAGAAGAAGAAGAAGAGAAAACATCAATCCACGTCCTGTGCCAGTGTTATAACCTGGCTAGATTGAGGTTTCTAACATGAGGCGAAAAAAAGCCAAACGCATGCAACTACATACGGGAGCCACTGTCAAAGCAAGACGACATACTCTAAAAAACGAAGTCACACAGTAGATCTGAAAAGGTCGCGGTGGATAAGGATAAATAATGTCCTTTTAAATCTGTCTAATCTAATTTCTGCTGATATTTACTTAAACAATTTTGTCTATACTCCCTTATATTATTACTTAATTGCTTGTTTCGTAGAATAATATATGAATTTAAACCTCAATAAATCAACGATAGTAGAATAGTCTTAAGAGAAGTTGCTAAACTAATGTAGACGCTCATCGCGGTAAACTCAAAACAAACTGAAGTACAGTCAAAGCTGATGTTAACTGATGCCATGGTTATAATGATTTAAAAGCAATTTTACAATAGTGAAATATGGTCCAACCAAAAATAGAAAAAAATCAGTTATTCTAAAGATAGTTTCTTGCCATTAATCGCCAATAATATAAGAGATAAAAAATAAAGGTATTACTGCAAGGACAGTAGATTTAATAAAGAAGGAAAGACAGGAACATATAAACTAAAAGTTAGTATTCGGACCACTAAAAGTCATAGAAATAAAGGCTATTACATGTAAATTCTTATTTTTATTGTTTGTCTAAAAATTCCTATTTAAAAACATCTATTTTTAAGAGATGTTGTAGCCAACTTAAAGTACCAAAGTGATTCAGATAGTAGCGGTATTGAAGGAAATATACCTGAAGTTGAAGGTGGAACTGAATCAGATTGTTCAGGAGCTACCGAAGGGCCAGAAGACGGTACACTATCTGATGACAGTATCATGGATGATGAGAGTTTTCTTACAAATCAACAACTACAGAAACTCTATAAGTTGCCCAAATCATTAAATTTGGTAAGAAATACAATATTAATGCTAGGTTAATTAACGACGTACTTAATTTATGGTTGTTATTATTGTTGTAGGGACGAACTGGTTTGGATGAATGCAATACCGATTTAGAACGGCATAATGCCAGACATTTTGTTAAAACTTTACAACAATCGTTGTTACCAAATTTATTATCACTTCGCTCATCTATTCAAGTAAGTAGGTACCTACCTCACCTATCAGAAACAAATTATTTTATTTCAATATACATATTGATTATTGTCATTTTAGGTTGATGAGGTGCTACAAGAATTTGCTTCCAAATGTTGCCAACACAATTCTTCACAAAACTACGAAACTTCAACAATAATGAATGCCGATGGTATTTACCTTGCTACTTATTCAGCTTTATTACTGGATTTGAAATTGATTCAATGCGGACAATATGAAGACAAAAGTGTACCTGTGCCAATAACTGAAGCTCAATTTGTAGAAGAAATTCATGGAAGCGGTGTATTGGTGTATGTGTCTGCTACTTGGTTATGCGAACTTTATCAAAATGTTCTTGCTAAATCTTTACTTTTATCCAACGGTTATGATCCAAAAAGTGCACACCAACCCTCACTTGTAAACCTATTGACTGGTGCGTTGTTTAAAAACGTTTATATATCGTACATATTATTATTTAAATGTTTTCATATTTTTCAGATATTGGTGGACTATGTCCATCACAATTACTTACAGATTGGCAAAAGCTACAAAGAGTGCACGTATCATCAGAAAATAGTCCAGAAGTGGAAGCAGGCGTGAAACTTTCCAGGCGAGTACTCACTTGCTGCTGGACATCAGTAGTATCTGTACTAGGAATGCCATTGGGTGAGACAACTTGTCCCAACGGAACATCTGCTTTGAGTAGACTTGTCGCGAGAAGAGCGAGACAAAAATATAAACAAAAAATGAGAGATGACGTAATTACCTCAAGTTTAGAAGGATTACATAAGGTAGGCACTAGTTATTTTCTATATCCCATCATTTCGGTCCAATCAAATCTGTTTAATTTAATTTCGTTTTTTTTTGTTTTCTTAATACCATATATTTAACGATCGCTAATAAACTACATATTTTAATTGTAATCTTATTGTCAAAAATAGGTTGAAAATACGTTTCCTAGTACATTCTATATTCACTGAAATTAAAGTGATTGATGACACGAAATTTCTGATATTTTATGTTCTTTGATAACTAAATTATATTTTTATTTTAGGCAGCTAGTCTTAGTAACACATTGAAGCTTCAAACTAGAAGCAGTAGTATTTTGGCTTTATTATCAGCATCTTCCTGTAAAACTCAAGGAATAAAATTATTAGCATCCCATGCATTATCATTGGATGTATTACTATCTAAAGGTTTGTATAATGAATCACATTTTTTTGTTAATATTTCGCAATAATAATACGGGGTGATTCTTATATTAACCGTGAATGGAAGCTACTACCAATCGTCAAAAAAAAATGTTCCCGAGTTTTATATAAAGAAAGAAATGTACAAAATTTATAAAACACTCTATAAGTCGGTTAAAAATGGTTAAATACAGGGACACTTATTGTCTATATTTTGTCGAATATACCGATGTAAATTCAGGTCCCACTTGGTTAAAAATTCACAAATTCTTCAACCCTCAAAACACCACCCTGTATATCTGATTTTTGAAACAATCATGTTGTGGATCAAAAATGTATACTATGCTGAATCTAGGGTTTGAGAAAGATTAAGAGCACAAAATTTTTGACAGTAAACAAATAAATACTAGGTTTATTGCAGCAGATCTTCCAAATACGATCCAAACTTACCAAGCATGCATAATTAAAAAAACAGTCAGCTGTTTTTAATTGTGCATGCTTAAAGTGTACCTACTATAAATTGACTGAGCATGCTTGAATTATTTAGGACTGCTGAAACAAACCTACAATATCAACAATGATGTTTTGTCATTCTTATGGCTTTTTCTCATTACGAAAGTGTGAAATAGGTACCGCAAACTCTCTAAAGGTATTTAAGTAGATATTATGAAGAAGTATATCGATACAGATGGTGTACCAAACGTCAAAAAAAAATCTACGTGGTTATTCCCAAGTTATAAACAATTAAAGAAATTAACAAAATTGATATATCGGTTATAAACGGCCAAAGACCAATAAACAGAGCTTATACAGAATCACTACATCCACGGTTAACATATGTTCAATTCCGCATTAATGACCCTGCATAAAATATTTTTTGATTTACACATTAAATTTAAGAAATAAATGCACTCTTGTCTAGGGTATACCTTAATTCGCTAGATGATTTTTCAGAAAATTCCATACAACATCGGGTCGGTGGTGTAGCGGTCTAACGCGCTTATATTCATTTATAAGCAAGTTTATGTGTCAGAAGCTGCTGGGCTTCGAATCCCAGACCAGACCATGTGGATTTTTAATTAAATTGCATGGTTCGGTATAGGATTTGATGTGTGCCGTATTAATAGAAATTCAATTTCTGTTGATATGACATGCAGATTATAAAAAATCGCCATACATTACCGTCTCGATATGGTGGGTGAGGTTTTCGGGTTTTCCTCACCTGTAAGTCAAATGGCACCATCAATCATCTTTAAGTCGCCCCGGAGAGCCACGGCAAATAATAATAATAGCCGTCCCTTTCCCCGTACAAGCTCAGCTTTTAGGGTTAAAATTCACTCGTAAGGGGGTGAATTAGGAAGAGTATTATTATTAGTATTATTATCTAATTCAATTACATAATATTAAGGTAATTAAACGATCGTTTTATAATATGGAATTATCGAGCATATTTATTCGAAAAACTTGTTTTACTTAGGACTACATTTTTGTACTTTTTGTGCTCCCTCTTAATTTTATTTAACACAAAATTTTGCATCGACAAAAAGTTTTTTATGCAAAAGAACACATTTTTTATGCACTTTAGGGACGAAAAGGAATAAAAAGTGTTACTTTAGTCCCTTGGTGTATTTTATGAAACAATTTTTTTTCTTATACATTTTAATAAATTTGAATTTAACCAGTATGCATTTTTTAGACTAGAAAAAGGCAAAAAATATTTTATTTTATGAAACCCAATTTTTAATTATTTTAATTAATCGATTAATCGAAAATAATAATTATCTGAAAAGTCGAAAATAATTGATTTATCAAAAATTGTCGATTAATCGAAAATAATCAATTAATATAAAATAAGTGATTAATCGAAAATAATCGATTGATAGAAAATAATCAATTTTTCTAAAAAAAATCTATTGTTTTGCCCTCCCCTAGATATAACCCGCAAGAAAATATTTTATATACCTATGTGTTCTCTTCAAAATTTAAGAATTTTAAACTGAATAGTAAAATACCTAAAACCTCGTCATTTTTTTTTATACAGACTAAATATTAATGTATTTATATATTTACACTAAATATTAATGTATTTTTTAAAAATCTATTAAAATCAAAGTCTGTCAATAGTGCAAATTATTATGCTTGTAGGCCCATATATTTTTTGTATTTTTAACAGCATGCTTTTACACATTTTATACAAACCGACCTTAATACTGTCCTGTATAATATTTTTTATTCCAGTGAATTTTTTACTTAAACGAGCATTTTAACACTCAAAAATCGTTTAAACAGATAAAAATTAAATTTAATTACAAAAATGACACTAGAAAAATTGCACTCACAATAATGGCGGACCGATCCCACTTTGCGCTTACACATGTATCAATGCTTGATTTTACAGGTTTGGAATTGGGATGCCACAGTTCCGCTTGTTGGCCTCATGTGTTTAGTGCTTGCGTTGCTGTTTCAACTTTGGAACATTCATTGTTCAGCAAAACAGGTTCAACTCAGCTCTTAATGGTAGCACAAAACCCTCAAAATAATATAATCACATCCACAACCCGATCCGAATCTCAAGAGAAACTTCATATGAATTTTAGCATTACCAACGATGAAGAAACGTAAGCATTATTTATGAAGTGTAATATAACTGTAATATTTTATTTTTTTATCCATTTTTATGCTTAGTGAGTTGTTTGGTTTGAATACAACAAAATTTCAAATTTAAAAACATTCCTATAGAAGACGACAGTCTTAGTCAAAATAGGGTTTACATTTAAAACGATCGTTTCAGGGTAGATATTTACAGCTTCCTGCACAACTCAAGCCATTTGAGTAACGATATCAACGACACGAGTATTGCAGAAATAGTAGAAAAAAGCGGGGCCAATAATGCACAAGGTCAAGGAATGTTGAGTGGAGTATATGCAGCCAAAGTTTGTTGCGTCTTGTCTCAGAAATCTGATGAACTTTTCCACTCTGCTGCTTTGAGATTATCTCTACCAGGATTGTGTAGCTTTCTCAATGAATTATGCAAAGCTTCCCACATACAGGTTAGTATATAATATGTATTCGGTATATTTAGTGATATGGGTTATTTATACTCTCAGTTTAATATTATCTTCTATCTATTAACAGTTATTCACCAAATACGAAGAATCTCCCAGACAACAGAAAAAATGGTGGAAGAGAGAACTTGAAATTCAGCAAAAACCTCCTGCGACACTTTTACTCCATCGCATTGGAGAAGTCACTTTGAAATGTGTCAAATCTGGAAGGCCACTTATCCACATAATGAAAATATGGTCTATTGTTGGTCCCCACTTTATGCAAGCGGCATGCCATAAGGATAGAATTATATCCAAAAAAGCTGTGACTTGTATCCACGATGCTGTAACGGCTTTATTAAACGAACAAGCTGAACTTCCTCATTTTCATTTTAATGAAGCCTTAATAAAGCCATTTGAGAATTTATTGTGCCTAGAACTCTGCGATTCAGATGTCCAGGTAAATGTGTATAAACAAACTAAATATAATGGGTTCATTAATATATCTTTTTTAGGACCAAATTGTTGCTTGTTTATGTGAATTTGTGGAAGCTAACAGAACAGAAATCTGCTCAGGTTGGAGGCCTCTTTTTGGTACTCTTCGTGTTGCCAATTCAAAGAATAACGCTGCAGCTATTTTGGACGTTTTTAAAATATTCTTATCTACAGATAATACACTGGTCTTTGCAAATGCGGCTTTGGACTATATTTTATGTCTCATTTCCCATATAAAGAATTCAAACATAGATGATACACCACTAGAACCATTGCACAATATAAATCAATATAACGAGAAGAAGTCCATATTTCTTGATAAAGAATCTGATTTTCCTTCGAAGTTGCTTCTTGGTCCCGTTGACTTATGTATTGAATCTTTAAAACTTCTACAGAATTGTGCATCGATTTTATCAGTGATTTACAACATGCCAAAATGTCCAAATTTTAACCTAACTCATAGAGTAAATATCGATACTAACCCACAATTGGTTGATCCAGTTATACAAAATTCAGAAATCCACAGTTTTAACCAAATCAATACGAATCAAATCAATTATGAAAGTTTATCAACACAGATTGATTTCGAAAATTGTGAGAAAGACAAAATAACTTTAGCGCACATGGATAAGCAAAGTAACATCCTTAAGATACATTACATTCTCTTAGAAGGTCTTGCTTCTTCTTCCACTTTAGCAGCTACTAAAAATCAACCATATATTGTAGAAACACTTTTCAAATTGATACGTGATTTAATAGAAAACCCAGGAATCAACTTTGGCTTTTATTGTATTAACCACATCCTTTTACCAATGGTACAGAATTGGTTAAGACAAAATTCTAAAATTCAAAAACCTGGAGAAGTTTGGCAAAATTTCAAGCATTGCTGTGGTTTAGCTAGCGAATTAGTAGTAGATTATTTATACGAACTACAAAAAACACGAATTGAATCCGATGTAATTGAACATCCTGGTGCAACTTTATCATTAAAACAGTTGCTCATTATATTAATAGAATGTATTTCACAGCCATCTGAAAACATAGCTAGATTAGGTTCATCTTGCATAAGACATGTTATGTTGAGCGCTGGCAAAATTCTAACAGTTTATCAATGGGAAGTTCTAATAACAGCTTTACACAGAGCTTGTACAGTTAGTTTAAACCCTCTGTATCAACTAAGCTTAGTCTTTAATCAATATTCCGACAGTTTCTATGGAGATTTAGCTACAGTTAAGGTTGCAGCAAGAAAAGACACTAGTGTATCTGAAAACGAACGACTATACGAACTTGCTCAACAAGTTTTCTTAATGCAGAACCAAAGATATTGCAATAAGTGTCAAGGAAAAGCTTGTGAATGCGAAAATAATAAACCAGTAGTTATAGACGACAGAAGTTACGTATTCTTGTTATATCCATACGATTGCAGCACCATAATGAACCCTGATATGTATACAATTCGAGTTCCATTTAAAAATTTAGTGGTTGGTATTCTGGCCCATCAGATGTTAATTCAAACTGTATCAAGCGCTTTACTTCAAAATCTGAATCACATAACACCCATTTTGAATATATTGCAAATAAATTCCTGCAGCTTAAGAGGCGTTTTAACAAAAGTAAATGCCAAACATGTCGATGTTCTTCTCAAGTGTTTAGAGATTTCGAATATGCGAGCTAAAGAATTTGATGTTAGACCGGGGCTAAAATTTTTGCTACAAAAAGTAGGTAACTTAAACAAGGCTGCCAACCTTTACACGCAGGCTAATACATCGGAGGTAGTCCAAATAATAGTCTTGATTGAACTATGTCTAGATGGAATTGACAAATATTCGATTGATCCGAGAAACTTAAAAGATATCTTAGCCCGCGACGAAAAAACTACTTGTATGACTGATTTAGATTACGTAGAAAATTTCTTAAAGAAGTTATACGTCAAATGGAATAAACTTTGCGACTCGTATGTTAATCTTACCCTAGTTATTCCAGAAGTAAACGAAGAAAGCGATGAAGAAACCATTGCTTCTGAAACATATCCCAAACCATTTAAACTAACTGATTTTAAACAAGACGATGATAACGACAATTTGAGTATAAGCACAGATACTGATAGTTATCTAGAAAAAGATTTACTTCCGAATTTAAAAAAAGACGACAACGATATAGATAAAAGTGAACTAAAAGTAGTCAAATTGCAGCATAGCTATAGCTTAGATGAAAATTTAATACAAAAGAAAAGAAACAATACAGATAATAATAATTCTACTGACGATGAAACTAACGAAAAAGCAGCATCAAAATACAACACAAAATTGGTGTATGAAAAATATAAAATTGAATTAAATGCTATTAAGTACGACAAAAATACTTTATTACAAATGAGAAAATCTACAATATCCAGCGATAATATAAATACTGACTATGATAAACCTAATGAGCCGTCGAAATTAAAAAGTTCACAATTGTGGGTAAAAGATGAACCAAAGAAAGGTCTTGGACAAAATTCAATGGGTTCCAGATCAAACCCGTTTAATATAAATAGTTTGCCCCCACCTCAGCCTGTACCAAGTGAAATTCAGCAACAACGAATATTGAGTATGTTTAAGGTAAGGAACTATTATTATTCTAATTTTTATTTATATTTTTTTGCGTCCTCTGTTATATAGGTATTCTTAGGTATATAGACTTCTGCTATTCGTTTCATTATATATATATATATATATATATATTCGGCTTAAATTTTGGTACAGTGCAAAACTACGAGGAGCAACAGAAAGATTAATATGCATATGAAGTGAGAATAAGAGAGAGAAAGCAGAAGAAGGCGTTGGCAATCTCACGATGCCGACCGATCTCATCCGTCGACTACAACACGCAAACAGAGTGCTATCGCAGTTTCTCCTGTTAATCGGCAATACCCAAGAAAAATTTAAGCTGAATTTGTATTTTTTGTTTTTTCCCATTACAACTAACATTTGTTTGCTTTATATATTTTTACCTTTATATTGTTAACCTAATTTTCCTATTGTATATTGTGGGACCTCTATAAGGAATTTTAATTTTGCTACTTTAGGAAAAACCACCACAACCCAGATTATCTAACTTTTGTCGGATGTCTTCTAGCCTCTTTCGTGCGTAACTGGTGTTCGGGAGATGATAGTGGTTGGAAATATATATTTTTTTTCTGGTTGGGTGGGAATCCAATAAGGACACCAGGCATATAGTTCTGCCCGTAACTGGTAGTGTGGGACTCCCGGCTGGAGGGTGCAAGGCCGGTATACCCACTAAAACCACCCTTAAAGCATTGTGGATCTTCTTGGAACTACCTGCTGGCAATACTTCGAGAAGACGCTTTGTTTTTTGATGTATTGGGCTCATTCATAATGTCATTCATGTCTTTTCTTTTAGTGGACATAATAATAATGGCTGTGTTATTTACAAGTTCCCATGTTTCCTTCGATTCCATCATTCTACTTACGAGGGTTTCTGGTCTTATCCTCCTTGGAAATATTTCTAGTTGCCTTCTTTCGTCTTCCCATCTTTGGCATTCGAAGAACGTATGTTCGGCTGTATCCCTCATACCACAATAGATACAGTCAGCTGTGTCACTTAGTCCGAATCTATGTAAATAGGTGCCGCGTCCTGTCAGTATTTGAGTAAGAAAATAGTTTACTTCTCCGTGTTTCCTAGTCATCTATGGTCTTATATATGGCACCAATCTCTTAGCCCAGTTTGCTTTTCCGTCGTCTATTGCCCACGTCGCTTGCCATTTTTCTATGATTTTATTTCGAGCGCTGATTTTGGGTTCATTACTTTCTTCAATTATAATTCGTTCTTCCACAAGTAGATTTATCGGCGGCATCCTCGCAATTGGAAGTAGCGCACTTGTCGATGTTGCCCGGTACGCACTAGTTATTTTTATAGCCGTTGTTCGTTGTACTCTCAGTAGAATGACTAGAAGTTTTCTTCTCAATTGCTCTTTTCCATATGCTTGCAGCGTATAGAATTATTGACTGTATCACCGAACATAATATTCTTCTGTTATTTTTCCTTGGTCCTCCCAGATTCGGCATTATGCGGCTGATATTTGCTAAATATTTCGTGGCCTTTTCAGCATTCATACCGATATGTTGTCCCATTCTCATATTTCTATCAAAATACAAGCCAAGGTATTTGCACATTTCCTGGCTTTGTAATTGAACATCTTCCACTTTCATTGAGATGTATTTCTCTTTTCTACCACTTACTAACATCACAATTTCTGTTTTGTGTGGTGCGAGTTTAAGGCTTTTATTTTTCATTCAACTGGTTATGATGTTGACAGCTCTGTTAGCTTTCCATTCGATGTTTATGATATTTTTCGCTGTAACCAGAATTGCCAGATCATTGGCATATCCCACTAACTTTACCCCGCTAGGCATTGGAATCCTAAGCACTCCGTCGTAGTATATATTCCAGAGGGTAGAACCTATCACTGATCCCTGTGGTACCCTGCATGTTACTTTAATTTCCTTTGTTTCTACTACTAACATCCTATCTTCTAGGTAACTTGCTACCATGTTGTAAATTTGGCTAGCAACCTCTTTTCTTTTTAGCTCTGCTAGTATTCCTCCCCAAGAAGCAGAATTAAACGTATTCTGGACATCCACCGTTATTAATGCACAAAGTTTTCTTTCACTGTGGGGCCTTTTGTTTGCTGTGTCAGCTAGCTCTTGTACTTTTTTCATGGCACTAACAGTAGATTTACCTTTTCTGAATCCATGCTGTTCAGTAGCAAGTACTCCCGTTCTTTCTATTTCCGAGTTTAGTCTGGTCAGTAACAGCTGCTTCCTCACTTTTCCTAGTACGTTCAGTACACAAATTGGTCGGTAGGCTTTTTCTAGTTATCCCGGTTTCTCTTTTTCTAATAGCACTAACCTTGCTCTTTTCCATTGTCTTGGAAATTCCCCTCTCTTAGTAGTGGTTGAATACTTTCAAACATCTCCCTGAGTGGTCTCTTAAAATTGTCTTTACCACTTCCGGTGGTATTCCGTCAGGTCCTGCGGCTTTCTTATCCTTGATTTTTAAGGCTGCTGCTAAGAGTTCGTCCTTGCTGAACGTGATGATTTCGTCGTCATTCACAGGAAGCCTCATCCATGCTATCTCCGGGTTTACAGAAAATAGTTTCTTGGCTATTTCCATTTGAACTTCTTCCGCTAAATTTATGGGTGCTGGGGATCTTAGTTTGTTTGTGACGATCTGATAACCCTTTCCCAGAGATAACCAGTTATCTCTGCCCTTTCCCCATACGTCATTATCTACTTCTTCTATTAGAGTCTTCCAAGCTTTTTTCTTAGCCTCAAATATCGTTTTCTTTAGAATGGCTCTACTTCGCCTGTACTGTTCTTGATGCATGATTTTTGTTCTATCATCATCTCGTTTATTTGTCCTTACCATAGCTCTCTTATTCTTCAGACAGTTCTTTCTTTTCTCTGCTACATCCTCACACTACCAATATACCGGTTTCCTAAAGTGTTCATGTGTCTTTTTTGGAAATACTATATTACATGCTGACTGGAAATATTTGGAAATACGTTAAATTAAGCGGCACTTTAATTTTATTTATTTTATTGAAACGTAATTTTTATTTTATGTAAGAATATTAAATTAGGTAATGCTAAACATGAGATTGAATAATGACATATATTGTTATTCTTTTGTTAACTATACAGGATTATTTTACATTACTTATACAGGGATGTTTCATAAAGAGAGTAACTTGAGAAGCCGTTAAAAAATGCTTGTCACACACCCTGTATATGTTTTCAATTATTTATGTGTTCAAATGTGTATATGTGTATCATATTCAGATCAGCTTTCTGTAGAAAAACCTGTATGTTTACGATTTTCATTTCTTTTAGGATTCAGAAGCATACAAAATAACAAGAATTGAAACTATGGAAGCATGTTTAGAACTACTAACTAGTCTTTCCGCTGAAAAATTGTCACCATTAGCAACAATTCTGAAACAAGGTGCCGTATCGTTGATAGGAGCTCAAGATGATAAGATAAAAAAATCTGCAGAAATTCTTCTTCAAAGAATGAATATATCTTATATCGATCACGATAATTATTGAATTTCATGTTGAATTTTGTGTTGAATTTTGTGATATATTTTTTTACGTAGATAGAAATCATATTTATTTACATTACAAAATTAATATTTTTATTATTATTAGTAAACGAATTCGGCAATTTGGTTTTATAGTTTATTTTAGAAAAATAAAGTGTCATAAACCATGTTCTTTTTCTAGCATTTCTGTAGCGTTCTAATTATATTTTGATGAAAAAAAAAACCAGGGGCGCTTGGGTGTATATTTCTCGATCTCTTTTGTACCAGTAGGGGAGGACGGGGTTGAAAGTTCCGATATTCATTGAACCAGTAAAAAATATATCGAAACGATGTGCAATCTATGTGATCTTTGTGCTAATAAAACAAATTATCGTAGTATCAGAATCTATATAATTACTCGTGGTGAATTATTAATAGCTGATCTTACACAACAATTTTATCTCACAACCAACCCCTCGAGGGCAAATTTTTCCCCTCACATTTGTATTACCTACTTTCCGTTCAAATAACGTAAGATTAATGAACAAGACAACTATTTTTTCGAATTCATTTTTTATTTCTCAACTTCAGAAATAAAACAAAACACAGAAGCAATCGTTAAAAATTTCTATGTACTAATGACAACAACAAAAAAACATGATTATTCATCATTCTCATCATCTGAATTGCAATTGGGGCAAATATAAACCTAAAAATCATCTCTTTCTAAGCAGTTTAAGTGGGCCCAATTTTTGCACATAATACATTCAATCCACTTTTCTCTGGGTTTCGAATAAGAATCGTAGCAAATTAAACAATATTATTCTAAATCATCATTATCGCTTTCATCGCTTTTTTGGAAGACTCGCCTTTTTACTTCGCCTTTTCCTTTTTTCCAGTTCCGCTTCCTTTGTTTTCATTATTTTGATCTTCGGCTCCGTTTCCTGATGAAAGTCAACATTAAGCATTTGCCTATCTGTCACAAAAGATGGTTCGTCCGTGAACATGTTGGGGTGGAAAGGGCATATTCCTGCCTTCTTAAATGAGTTTATGATGTTGGTAGGACATTCTACTAAAGGCCAAGCATATTTCAGAATTTCTGGTAGGTAATTCATATATAGACATCGTCTTTCCTGGATTGTTACGGAGCCAGTGGTCTTGAGCTTTGGCACAGTATGTTTTCAACGGGCCTTTTACACCAACATCAAGTGGCTGAAGACGATGTGTGCAATGAGGGGGAAATGATAAGATGATAACTGAACTAGCTTTTGCTTTTTCGACCACACCAATGTCGATATGAGATTGATGGTTATTCAGCAACAACAACACGGATTCCTCTAAGGTTGGTTTAATATATTTTATGAAGTGATCCATATATAGAAGGAATTCAGTAGCCGTCATCCAGCCTGAGCTATTTCCTGCTCCAATTGACTCAGGAGGACCATCTTGTCGGTTGGTTTTCTTACTTGTTAAAGCTAGTTAGTTTTCAAGAAAGTGGGTTATTTTGTCGTGTATTGAGTGAAACTGTGTTTTTATTATTTTGTACCGATTTAGGATGGAAAATAGGAATCAAAACAGAACAATGAATAATTGTAAGTTCACTAACAAAATCTATTTTTATATAGCCAACCTTCCTTCCTTCCTTCGATATAAGCTTTTAAAAAATGTAAAATGTATTGCTAAGAGGTAAAATCGGAAGATATCCAAATATAAAGCTAGAAGAAATTATATTTTTCGTATTAACTATATTTTTCCAATCGATGTTTAATCTTAAATATAAAAGATACAGCAGTAAATAACTGACCTTCTCACAAAATAACAACTGTGCATTACTTTTTTGAACTGAAATTAAAAGTTTTTTTTTATTACTATCCCATAATGTAAATATAAATAGTTATTTTGAAATATTTTTAAAAGAATCAATACAATGTTTGAGTATCAACAAATAAATTTCTGTCCAGTTTTTGTAAATAAGTAAATACGTTGTACCTACGACAATGAAAGCTTTGTAAATTTGCCAAATAATGCATTTTAGATTGTATATAAAAGCAAAATAAAAATTAAACAATAAGTCATTAATTTCCTATTTATTTGGTTGGTGTGGGTGTTAATTCAAATTTATCAAAAAAAAAACATTTTATAGTTCGATTTGGGTATATTCTTTCAACATAGAATTAACATTTTTTAGGCTCTTTGGTATGTTAACTAAATCAAAGAGCCCCCTTAATTTAAAATAAGAGCTATAACCAAAGGCAATTAATTATAATAGCATCCCTTGACGTTCAAGCTCTTTAGAGCATTAGGGGGTCACTCATAACAAGGTGAATTAAAAGGAGAGTATATTATTATTATTGCTATTATTATTATTATTACATTATAGTGTTAGACAAAGACAATACATAGATAGATAGATAACTAACTGTATGGGCTAATTAAATTCAGATGTGCCAACAAATGTACAAGGCACCAACAGTAATAGTTATTTATGTAGGTACCAAGTCAACAAAGTTATTCTTCATCGAACTAGTCTGAGATTATGAGACGAATAACAGACGAGTTCGATAAAGACACTTTGCCGACGTGGTCCATACAAACTTTTATCGCTAACCGTACATATATTATAATTAATAAAAAAGGATATAATATCATCACATTTTATTATTAAAAAGGAAACAAACTGAAAAATAACAGCGAATACAAAACAAATCAGTTCCAGACTATTTCTGTCTGACGGTCATGGCGATGTTGATAAATATTAGCTGCAGATAAATATTTGATTTTTACAGTGAGATAGTGTGCTTATTTCCGCAAATCGCTATGTTAATGCATGGCTTTATTGACGGTTGGCGATAAAACAATTTATTTAATATACAAAAAATAACATAAGACATGAGAGCAATAATTTCGTTTGCCCTGAAAATTACAATCCAAATTCATTGAGAACCTAGCTTTTAAACCTAAATTATTATATTTACATACCTTTTAAACTATGTGTATCTGTGAAAGGAAGAAGGATAGCATTGGATAAACCATTTGCCACCACAGATAGTCAAGGGCAATATAACGAAACATTGATATACGAGTTTAGTCGACTATTTTTAATGGATCTAAATTTTGAGTGTCTTTGATATCAATTTATCAAGAAATAATTTTGTCATTAATATAATCTAAATAGTCCGAGGGCTTTAGCTCGAGGATTTTATTCATTGATTATATTATTATTAATGACCATCTGATGTTGAAACAAATTGCAAAATAAACGAAAAATGTAGTAACAATAGAAATAGGCGCTAATTTATTAAGGTAGGGTTATATTTAATGAGACTATCTCTAGAGCCCTAGAAATTGACTTTATATCTTATGTGTGATTTTCCATCCGTCAAAACAAAATTTTTTTATTTATCTCCAAAACGGTCCATTTTAGGGTCACCATGTATATAGGGTGTTCTTAAACATCATGTCATAATTGAAAGAGGTAATTCCTTGGCACAATTTATGACTAAAAGTTTATATATACATGCGTCCTAAATTGCTTTGTTTCAAAGATACAGGTTGTTCAAATTTTTAAAAATAATCAATTTTTCTTTCATATCATAAACACTCTTCGACCGATTTTGATGAAACTTGGCAGATTCATTTGTTGTAGTAACAGACTAATTTTAACCTAGTTATATCTGAATTATTAATTCCAGTGGCAACTTAATTGATATTTTTTGAAATATCTTTTTTCTTTTTCTTTTTGAGTCCAGGGCCTGCACAAAATCTTAAAATAAACAAAATGTCAAGTGGATCATGCAAACAAATTATAGCAATTCCATGGAATTAAATTGAATATTATGTACCAAATTTCATCAAAATCGGCAAAAGAGTAATATTGATGAAAAACTGATTATTTTTGAAAATTTGGACTCCCAGTATCTTCGAAACAAAGTAATTTAGGAATTACCTCCTTCAATTACCTATGACACGATGTTTAGGATACACCTTGTATAACAAAAATTATAGATAACATCGCAAAAAACTATAATTTGAATAATTTTCTTCTCCTACCATAAATAACAAAAATGTACCAGGAAATAGAAAAACAACCACTTATAAAATACCCTCCCCATTTTCATGGGTTCGAACTAAAAACGTACACCGTGAAACGTACAAAACCACAATGATGTTTAATGTGTTGCCTATACTATATATACTGTATACGTATTCGGGAACACATTACTGAGTACACTTGTTATTGTTCGCTAAGCTAGTGACGTCGATTACACTGTTGCCGCCTCGTGTAAACCAGCTAGTATTTGGGACATTTTTCGTTTAATACTCGTGAAAATGTTAAATTGATGTTTTTTCAGAAAATAAGTCCTGTAACAAAGAAAGTTATAAAAATATCAAGATTACTATATGTATAAATATTTACTATGTTGTTTCATTAATTAAAAAATATAATTAAATTATATCTAGTAGGTTTTTACGGAAAAACAAATAAAATACAGATCATTTTTTTTTTGTAGGTAGGGCCTTCATTTTATCATGTCGACCTTTTCGTTGACATTTTAGAACTTTCTTTAAAAAAATTAAATCGATGTCCTTCTCTGATCATCGAGTATATAAACCATTATTCTCTGATAATCTTTTGGTGAATATTATCCAGTAAAAAATACAATATTTATGTAAGTACCTCATCCTATAATAGGAACCTAATTAAAATCTAAAGAAAGCAAGGATTCGACACGTGTATTTTTCTTCTACTCTGTGCCCTTTTTTTGTATTTATTAGTACCTACCTATCTACCTATCTAATAAAAAAATTGCTATTCAATTTTTATAAAAAACATTTCAGTGACACAAATTAAAAATTATCATCATTCAGATGCACCGGTGAACAATATATTAACAAATACAATTTTTAATTTAGTATTTATTTTTTTAAGGAAAGTTAAAAACTAAATATCGTGAAAACTGGGGAAATAACATGTTTAGATTTGACATCTATGTGTCTGAATCGCAACTTTCACGTGACGTTTCACTATGTTCTATTTGTGTTCCTATCTCAGTTTTCCATAACATTACGATAAAGGTTGCCATGTAAATTTTCAAACAATAATGTTAATAATTCGTGCAAATTATTAGTTTTAAGTGTTTCCAAAGTAATTTAGTGCATCATCGAATAGTGTACTCAGTGTTTTTCTTGTTTGTTTACTGGATATACAACTTCTATATATGATTTTGGTAAGATATAAAACTATATCAATCTTTTTAATGCCATTTGTTGTGTTGCTTTGTGTTTATACTATTTGTCTACGATTAATTATTAGATAGATAAATACTTATCAATACCTGTATTCGCCCACTTGATATATGGTATGCCAAACGTCAAGTCTGACGTCAAATTTAACGCCCCCGCTAAAAATTCGAAAAAAAGCGACTTACACTTGAACAACATCGTTATATGAAAAATATTTTATAACTGAATGATATATTTGCGAAATTGTACACATTCCCTATGTGTTAAATTCCTATAAAATTTTATTTCATACCGTTTGTAGTTCGTAAGTAGGTACTTATCTTCTTCATATAGGTACCTACCTACGTACCTACTTACCATTTCTATTTTTTTATCAAATTTTTGTTGATTCTCATTACACATTCAACTTAAAACAAGAAATTCTACTGGTTTTGAAGTTTGAAAATTTTGGCTGTATTTTACTTGTTCCTTACTTTATGCTCTTATCTCACATTATCCGCTAGTGGAATACCTATCTTATGTGTGAGTGACTGTGTGTTACCCACAAAACGTGTTATCATGGTCCCATGTCTCACAGCCTCCACAGCAGTCAAAAAGATTTGAGTTAATTTTTTTTCAGCATAACATGACAGGTATACATAACATAAACCTGCTATATAAATAAGCTTCATCAGTTTGTCCTCTCTTTTACACTGTGTCCAATGAACTGTGTCTCATGAATATTTTCTACAATGTTTGTTTGGGTGTCTGACTGAAGTCTATCTTATCTTTATGCATGATCCTTCCCTTATTTGTCCTTTTATTTGTCTTTTTATCTACGTTATAAATGAAAATCACAATTTATGCTAGGTAACATTTATCTTCTTTTTAAATCTAAGTACCAAACTCTTTTAAATATGTAGGATGTATCCCTGTAAGCAAAAATTTAACGACATAACTGTATTCATCAAAAATACAAATTCATCTTTTACAAAGTAGGTAGGTAAGTGAAAATTATTATTTTAGTATCTGCACCATTAATCACTAAATGCAGGACAGTTGAATATACAATGTTATTTTTGTAAAAACCAGTTTTACAGAAACAAAAATGTTCAGCTGCCCGATTTTCATCTAGTAAGATTGTGAGACTAAATAATGAAAATTTAACTAGGTATCTTTTGAACTAAAATATTAACTTATTTTAATTGCCTTGCTAATAGAACTAGTCTTAGTGATCATTGCCTATCTATGATCGGTCGTCCATATCCTCATATCCAGACTTTGGAAATCAGCTTAGCCAAAGTTTTTTTACTATTCGCGGGAACACATTTTCTTAGAAATTCCTTTGTTTGCGCTACGATACATTTTATAATACATAACACATAACAATTTGTGTATGTCAATAAAGGTTTAAAATAGAGCTTCTTTAGGTGTCTCTATTGAGCTTCTATTATTATTATGCTCCTTTCACACACGATTTTGGTGATACGATAAAAAGTTGTCTATTAGTGGCGTGAAGAGATAAATGCATAGAGCAAAAGGCAGGGGCGGATGGGCCCACCGGGAAACCGGGAGATTTTCCGGTGCGCCTGTCCTAAAGACGTCAATAATCGTTGTCACGGTTTTTCTTTTTATTTTTTTTTTTTTTGACAATTTGAGTTAGGTATATATTGCAACATAATTTTTTGTGGTTAAGTTATTAGTAAAAAAATTAAAAATTCTTGACTTTCCATTTTTTTGCTGTACCGGCGCGGCGCCGTTTCAATTGACTTCCCGCACCGATCCGAGGGGTCCCATCCGCCCCTACATAGAGCCAAAGGGATATCCCTAATAACTATTGTTTCCCATAAGAGATATTTGTTATTAAATTAAAACCATTGAGGTAGTATTGTATAGAGGCCTTATAAGTATTATTTCGCACAGAGATAAAACGTCGCACTAGGCGTGGCTTAGAATCGTAACAATATGGCTGCCTCGCCAGGTCCTGACTCTCGAAAAATTATAAGAATTTAAATATATTTTGAATAATAGATTTTTTTATTTCACCTAAGGTCATATAAAGAGGCAATGCATTTTTTAAAGATAGAAACAAAATAAAATTGGAAGAAAAAAAACGTTCTTAAAAAAATTAAACATAACTATCTTATTAATGTGATGCCTTATGCTCTGAGATTTATTTGATTTTTGTTTGGCAAAATGATATAGCCTAACATTTACGTACTGTCATAGCTTTTATTAACAATACTCGATGGTTATCCAATGCTGATGATCATAACTATGAACTAGTAAATTTGAAAAACTATTTTTATTTACAAATTGTGTAAGGATTATAATAACTACAGATGCTGCTGATATTTGCTTATATGATTAAGAAATAACAGTGTTTCTTAAAACGTTTTCGCGTTGAATACATATATCCAAAACATCTGTTGAGAGATATTGTAGTCCACTTTTATTTTAATCTGTCACTTGTCAAATCAGATATACATTCAAAACAATAGCTATTTATGTATTAAGAGCAGGAAGTAGCACTTTGGCAGTTGAGACAGAAAGTTGCCGCGCGATGCGTTAGCGGAGAGCGGCAATCTGTCGAAACTGCCAAAGAACTTTCTGCTCGAATTACGCACATGATTTTTTCTACGATCACACCAAAATTAAATAAATAATTTTATTTTATTAGAAATGGGTTACCTTCTTTCGTTATAATATTGTAAGTTTATTTGACATAAGCCTACTCTTCAAAGAGAAAAAATGTTTTGTCGATAAATATTTATGATTTAATCATTTAATTTTTTACGTAAAATACTGTTGGATGATTTAAAATACTAGGAAGTCAATTAAAATAATTTAGATTAGCCTAAGTACATTTTGTTTTAAAATACCGATTAGCTTTCTTTTATTTAATTCAAATGAGAATAGACAAAGGTAATTTGGCGCACGTGTGCGCCAATAATGTCAAATTATTATACAATATTCGAGGAAAACGTCAACTTTCTACTTGAATGTGAAAAAGCATACTTTGGATAAAATATTTTTCTTTAAAAATTGAAATATATCCCGCTATATACGCAATAATATATTTGGAAAATTCTGACAGAGAGTCTGGCAAATATGACTGATGATGATCCCTGTTAATTCATTCAACTTACTGTCAGAATTTTCTTCTTTAGGAAATCTGAAAGGAAAACATTTGTTATTTGGGTTTTATTTGTTAGTTAATAGTAGTTTGTGCAACAAGAGTGGGTATGGACAATCCAAAAAATATACAGTACAACTCGAGTGGATTTGGTCATTATATTCACTCTTGTTGCACAAATTAATATTGTCCCATCCTAGATTTAAATCCGGTCCTTTCGCATGAAAGGAAAGTGCCCTGACCTCACCACCATCCATACGCTTAACATTTTTGCATAAATACTCGTAATTAAATTGACTTCATATAGTTTTAATAAAATTAACGAATTATTTATAATTATAGACGAAATGAAAATAGAATTGCTATTATTTATCGATTCTACACAAGAATAACTGATTTTAATGTATATTTAATATCAATAACTAAAAAATAAACTGACAATTAGTTTGATAGAATTGTCACTCATTTAAAATTTTAAAAATAATACTAGTCTGTAGACCAAAATATGAACTGTGATGAATTTCATTTTTTTGCAGTGTTCTTACTACCTAGAATGAAATTATATTCGTTCAGCTGAACGCAATAGCATACTTACTTTTTCGTTTTGTAGTCTGTGCGTAGATCAGCTAATATCCATGTGGGTGTACAAAAAATATGTAACAGTTTCATCTACGGTTTCATGTAATTTTTGGGTTATATGGGAAAAATTAAACTCTTGCACAGCATAAAATGGAATTTCTTAACAATTACAAAATAACAGAAAACCGTATAAGTATAAGAAACAATTACCGTAAAATATTTTAACCCAGAAACTATTTAAATAAACAAAATATAAAAATATTTGTTTTTTTAAATACTACCCTGTTTATTGTTGACCTATGAAATGGTATGCCTATCGATTTCTTTTTATCAACTACATTCCTGCTATTGCAGTATTACCAAGAGCACATGAAGCCATTATTGCCTCACTATATTATTTAAATATCACACAAAAAGTAAATAAAAACAGGAAAACTTGGTCATACAAATCAACATTAATGAAATCACAACAATGGCACAAGTGTTTGACGCAAGTGTCGCATCAATATGGCGGACTGATGCCGCTTTTGACCACGTGATCCCATCTCCCTATAATACTACCTCAATGTATTAAAACTGACATTACTGGGCAGGATTGTATTCAGGTAATATTAAAGTCATATGTGTAGAATTACAAGTTTTAAATGACTTAAGTATCTAGGTACCTACTTACTTAAAATTTATTTTAACAAATAACCCATGACCGATTCGAAATTAATCTGACAGTTATGCAAGCGTTATTCCTACAGTGTTTAACAGTTTCTGACTAAATTCTTGTTTGAACGCATTTCTAATTGTCGCGCAGGTCATATCGCCGTGCCACTAGCCTCAAAGATATAATCAAACATATCATTAGAACGTACAAACCGAATCATACAGGAGCGCACACAGCCGCGCTCCTTGTCGTTTATTGAGTAAAAAAACAATTTGTTTTTCTGCAGGCAGCTGCCTGAAACTAGTTCCATGATTGGTCTCAAGTCTCAAGGATGGCATATTAAAATTGAAAAACTGGCATGTCTAAAAAGTTGACAGTGTCAAATAGGCGGAATTCAAAAAAAATTTGCTCAAAATTTAGTGCCATTTTAGTGCAAATTTAGTGCTGCATTCGCGAATTTAATGCTATTTTAACTAATAAAAAAATGAGAACAATGCTAGCTTCAACGAAAGCTAGCATTGTACAAATCGAACAGCATAGAAATCGTTGAAATAAAAATAAAGCTTTGTAACGAATAATTAGTGCTCAAAAAGTGCTACCAGCATCCGTGAGAAAAAATCAAAAATTACGTTAAC